GATGACTGCTGTGCCTCCATCAGGCTGGATGAACTCTGCTCTTGCCGCAGCATTTGAGGAAAAGTATCCATGCACACGGTTGCCCAAGGGAGACCCTGCACGCTGACTTACACACGTGTGTTTGGGGAAAGGAAGGTCCTAACATGAGTTCCTCACCTTAGGGTCCAAATTAGATGAAGTGGACTCATGGCCTCCCAAGGGATGAGACCACAGACACAGGTCCCTAGAAGACTGTGCCCCGAGGTTAAAGAGATGAGACAAGGAGAGAGGTCACAGGCCCTGGAGTCAGCCTGGATCGAGCTCAGGCCCTGCAGGCAGCAAGGGTCTGGGACTCCATGCTGACCTCGGGGGCTGGTGTGCAAGAATCCCCCCTGCAGGAGCAGCACCTCACAAGGAGTGCCACATTGAGGGCCTCCTGTTCTTCAGTGATGAAGCCCCATCATGCCAGGGTGCAGGATGCCATGATTGCCCCCCAAGGAGAGAGCTGAGGGGAACAGGCCAGGGCAGCAGAGCCACTGCCAACAGGTCTCAGTCTGTCAGACTGTAGGAGAGAAGTGAAATCACCCGGGATGCTGACCTCGCTGAAATAGTACCTGCTGGGACTTCAGGAGTGGAGCTGGGAACAGCTGCAGCCACAGGAGGTCAGGCCAAGTGCAGCAGATGGTGGTCCACTGCTGGGCGGCCTCAGCTGTCCTCCCCAGGGCTCCAGAATCTCCCGAGGTGCAAGAACACAGGACAGAGCCACAGGCGCTGGGGCGCGACCCCATGCACAGGGCAGGCTTCCGATGGGCAATGCCCTGGGATGATGGAAGTGTGTCTTTGACACTCCACCTGGGACCTGGAGCGGCTGTTCATCTCAGCCTGGTTGTCCTGACTTCAGTATGTGGCTGCTAGACCCACTTTGGATAAAGCAGGCACTGCCGTGACGTTCACCCAGGATTCAGTTGTTAAGCCCAAACGACCTGCCATCTCTTCAACCAAACCCCATAGCTGCCTTCCCTGTTCCTCCCTGTCTCCTCACGGCCCTGTGTGTGCAAGGTGAGGGAGGAGGGACACAGTGGCGGAGGCCATGACCACAGGTGGGACCTGCTATGTGCCCGGGGCAGGCTCCAGGGTGCAGCTGGGCAGTGACCTGGAGAGAGGGGACTCAGCCCCCACAGGGAGCACGTCCTGGCCCTGCTCAGGACTGCTTTGAGGATAACAGAGGAGAGATGAAGAAGCACGGAGCAGCTGGAGCTCCCAGGCCCAAACACCACAGCCCGAGGACAGGCAGCTATGGGCATTTGACAGCTGAGCTCGGCTCAACCTTCCCCTTTATCTTCACTAATGACACCATCAGATGTACAGGGAGAGGCACAGAGCTGGGCAGGGAGGGGTGTATTTGGGAGAAAGCTCAGGGCAGCACATCCAGATGTGTTGGAGAAAGGAGGAAGTCCTTCACCAACACCCGAGGTAGCAGGGTGGTTGAAAGGTGCCCTTCACCGGGGCCTGGAACACGTCTTCCCTGGGAGGTGCAGAGGCCTCATTTCTGAGGTCTGTGGGTGGGGCGGGGATCGGCACCTACATTGCAGGGGAGATTCTGCCCTGTGCGTTTTCACTTTCTCTCTTATTTAAAGGGTGCTGACACAGAGAGCTTCAGATGCCCTCCACACCAGCCTGCTCTCCCAGGAGCCTGGCCCTGCTGCTCCCAGGCTCTCGGTTACCTCCACCCTGAGTTCAAGGGGATGTGGACACAGCATGGAGAGGAGGAGTGAGGTTTGGAGAGTGCCCCTTGAGGGCCAGAGGCTTGCTGCTCCCCTCCACTGGCCTTTTGGTTGATTTCTGAGGAAGGCAGTGTCCACCCAGAGCTCCATCTTACTCCAAGGGCAATCTGCACTCAGCTTGGGCCTGGTGGGCACTGAAGGCTACTTCCCTGGCTCCCTCGGCCCCCAGCCCTCGCCCACTGCCGCTGTGGAACAGGCTGCTTCGGCTGGAGGCAGGCCTCAATTCCCTGAGCTCCCTTTGGGTTTAGAGGAGAGGTCACCTAGAGAGTCGGGGCTCAGCACCCTGAGAAAGAGAGGAAGTGTTGAAATACCGTGCACATGACAACTCCCACTGGTCCCAGGGCCTGCAGCCTCAGGTCTCCTGCAGCCAGAGGCTCAGGCTCAGCTTGGAGACCTAACCAGCACCCAAAGATGTGGAAGACACTCACATGTGGTGTGGAAATGTTTATTTCAGAGTGCTGATCAGTGATCTCTCAAGGTCAACTTGTGCCAGGAGGAGGAGGACTGTGCGTCTCTCTCTCTGCCTCTTCTTCATGGATGTCACTTTGGGTGCTCTGTATTCCTCAGTGGTCAGGAGGCTGGCTGGCTGGCTGTTATTAAGCTTCTTCTCCTCCTGCTTCTTCTCCTCCTGCTGCTGCTTCTTCCTCTTTGACAGTCTTGATGGTCTTTGCATTCAATGCATATGCAATGAGCAGTGCCGCGATGAAGACATAGAAACGGCCATACATCAGTCTCAAGTAGATGATCAGTTCTGGATTCCGGTCTACCGTCCGCACTCTCTTTGGAAGCTGCCCACTCTCCACACTCCCACCATGACCTAATTTGTCACAATTAGGAGGCTCCCAGCCTACGTGACAGTGACAGTGCCTGTGATTGTTGCAGACCCCTTTATAACTGCACTTTTCAGGGAGACAGTCATAATCCAGTGCATTTATTGATGTGTTACATGAACTGCCAATGCACATCTTCCCGCTGCCACACGGGGTTCCTGTCCTCACTTTTCCAGCATCAGTGGACCCTGTTGAACGGTGTTCGTCCAGTCCAAAGCAGTAGGCCCCGTCGATGTAAGACTGGTGGAACGAAACGTGCTCCTGTAATATGGGGAGGCGGGTGACGTTATTACATTGCAGCCTTCCGCACATCTTGTCAGCTCCAGTACAGGGAGTGTACGCCAACTCATTCTCTGCTCTCCCACAGTGTCCAAATCGGTACGAGGCCAAGTTTATAGAGTAACAAGCATCCTCAGCGTTCTTAGCAGATTCACCAAAGATCTCCTTGCAGTGTATGGTTCGGTCGGTACAGTTGCCATTGTAACAGTAGCCGTCTTGACTGCATGGAGTTCCATCTTGCAGGTAAGTATCTTCAGGGCAGTTGCTGTCACTTCCAGAGCAGTGCTCTGGGAGATCACACACGTTTTGGACAGTTCTGCAAAGTGTCATCATGGGGCTGTGGGTGCAGTTGGCACAGCAGGCTCCTCGATCACAAGAGCTTCCCTCTGTAAATGTACACTCGGTGTTGCAGCAGCCACTGGTGTAACACTCCTTCAGGGGCCCACAGTCACACTGCTCCTGGCCTTCCACTACGTAATTCCCACAGCGGTTCATTGTTATGCTGCTATTATAAAGAACCCGCTCAGAGCGGTAATAGCACGAATTAAGTGAAGGATTACTAACTATATGCTGTATATGTACGAAGGAACAGTTACTGAATGCATCTGTTACCCCAGGCCACCTGAACATAATACATGTGTTCCTTCTCTGGCAAACACAGTTGCTTCCATCATACAGCATACCAATCATTCTCCCCTGCTGGTTGGCAGCAATGATAGCTAGCAATATCGCAGGCCTGTAGAGTGCAGCGACAAAGGTGAGGGATCCTTTATTGCACATACTATATGGAGCTGGTTCAAATGCAGATTCATGTGGTTTTTCTTTAAGTACTAGTGTGCAGGAGGCAGGTCTAAATGGCCAGTAGAATATATCCTCGTAATGTTTGTGTATATCCATCCCTGACGGATACCATTCACCCTTAGGAAATGAAACAGGATCACTCTCGGAATATACCACCACCATAGAAATATAGAACCTGAACTCAATACCCCTCATAAGGGTGTCGACTATGTTAAACATGTGTATTAGGAACTCAGAACACTTGCTGACATTTTCGTATCTGCTATACATGGAGCGGGAACACTGCACGATCCCCTTCAGGGCAGCTTCATGGCCACTATACATCATGCTTGAAATCCGAGGCTCTGCACTGTAGTTCAGTCCAGGGCTCAGGGGACTTGGGACATCCTTGTGGTCCAGACCGTACATTGGTCCCATGGCGTTTTTATTGGCCACCAACTGAGAAACGATGTGTTCAAACCTGTTTGAATCCCTGAGAGGAGAGATTTCATACGTGAGGTCATCCAACATCATGACACCTTCCATGCCCCCAGAGCACGTCTCTACAGTGACCGTGGACAGAGGAATGTCCTCCAGGTAGCCGAGGAAGTAACAGTCTTCAGGGAAGTAGGGGTAATCCATCTGCAGGGTTCCTTGGTCATCCTGAGTGGCCAACACCATGTGTCTGGGCCACAGAAGACGTTTTTTCCAAAGATGGATGACATGTCTCTGGCCCCCGAAACGCAGGCTGTAGGAAATATGTCCTGGAAAATGAAGACTCTTGCCACTTTGGACCTCCTTCTTAGGAACCACCACCTCAGAGGAGCTGTAGCGCCATGAGGGGTGGCCTGGAAAACACAGGACTGAAGTCCAGAGTGCCCAGATCCCAAGCAGCAAGAAGGCAGCCCTGAGAGGGACTGGTCCCTCGACCGGCCACATGCCCCAGCTCCTGGATATCTAGGGAGTGGAGAAGGAAAGTGTCCTCAGTGAAGCCAGGTCTGGACCCTTTGCTGGGGTGCTTCCCTCCTGAGGAGAGAGGAGGGAGGACAATGGGCCCCCCAGAGGTTACCTGGACAACCCGAGGGGCTAGGTGAGAGTCACAGGGTGTGGTAGGGCCTGCACATGATGTCAGCTGGGAGGGCAGGGACTTGTGCAGGAGTGCTCACTGGCAGGAAGAGGCAGATTCAGCAAAGCTGCCCGATTTTCTCCTGCTCTCTGAAGATATATACTGGCCTCAGGTCCATGACTGCTGCAAGTACTGTCACTGTACTCTGTTCAGCTACAATGGGTCAAGGTTTTCTTGAGTCTGGACCACATTTCAGTTATTTGGCAGCTGGAGTGAGACATCAGTATCATCCTAAAAGGTCTCAAAATGTTTTTTCTATTCTTTTACACATAAATGTCTTGTTTTGGTTTGTGGTTAAGGTCATTTTGGACAAGTTGATACTTTGGTTTTGGTGGGAACTTTGCTTGCTGTCTCCAAATCAACAGCTGATATAGAGTTAGTCCTGGCAGCCCATGGAGCAGGAGGATGCCTGAGGAGGCCTGGCTGGGCCTGGACAGAAGAGCCGCATCCTGGAGAGCCAGGCACCATAGTGGGAACCAGGTGCCAGTCAACTTGGGGGCAGCTTTCTGGTGCCTTGGTTGTGACCCAGATGCCCTCCGGGCCACCTTCTCATCACTCCCGCACAGCAACAAATTCTCTTAAAGGCAAAGACTTGCTATCAAGAGGAGGCTTCCAAGAGAAATTGAGGCAGGTACTGCTCAGCCTCGTCTTCCTGGTTTGTTTGTTTTTCCAGTTATGCATAATGTTCATTCTGAATAGAGCAGGGAGTGTCCCTGCCACGGATTCCCCTCTCTCTCCCTCTTTCTCTCTCTCCCTCTCTCTCCCCTTTCTCTACCCCTCTTTCCCTCCCTCTCTCCCTCCCTTCCCTCCCTCCCTCTCTCTCCTCCTTCCTCTCTCCCCCTCCCTCTCTCCCTTTCTCTTCCCCCTCCCTCTCCTTCCCTCCCTCCCTCCCTCCCTCCTCATCTCCTTGCTCTCTAGCTGCTCTCTGCTCTCCACACCCCTTGTCCTTCTCA